GAGAAACCACGGAGAACAGGAGATCTAGCCAGGATGGGTCGATCAGTCGAAAGATCGGAAAGTTAAAGTGACTTATAAATTAAACATTTATTACTATGTTTATGTCGCTGCCGAAAGCATCTCAGAAGAAAATTATTTTAAATGGTCATTATAAGCTATTCTAAATTTAAAAAAATACGGTTATGATTCAAATTGTGATTCATTACATTTTGTTAAAAATTTGTTAGTTTTTAAAATTCTTTTTTACATGACAATATATATTCACTTCTTTTGGGTGCGTTAATTTATGTTCGTTTCGCTGTCAAGGACATGTATAAAAATAAACGTAGCAAACACCTCGATTTTGCTTTGAATGGTGTTAAATAAAATATGAATCTATTACTATTTCAGAGTAACAATAATAGTGTTTGAACACATATTCAAATTGTTTGATTGTAGATTTTTCGTTTAGATGTTGAGTTGGATTTTGAATGGAAAATTTTGTGGATAAAATACGATACTCAATTTCTTTCTCGTTGATTTTTGGCTATATTGTTTACTGCTTTTTCTTAAATTATCAGTTAAATAAAACCATATAAGTAAAAACAAATCGTAAATGGGAGAAGTTTTTTGCGCATCTTTTGATCGTTTGTAATCTGATTGTATATTTCATTTACTTTAGCGTTCCGCCTTTGCCATATGTCCTCCATTGAGAGCTTCCGATGTAAAGCGCCAATTCTCAGCGACTCACGTCGTATTAGGACCGCGCATTAAATTGAAATGATCCTCTTGGTCACGCAGTTTGTTTCGAGATCGTAACGGAAGATATAGAACTGTTTTATATCTCTAAATGGAGGGAAACTCGTTCGTTGTGTGTTAAAACACAAAACCATAACCCTGACTTTATGATGAAAATATAAACAGGTTTGTTGGTCGTTTCCAGTTACAAATGAAGAACGACTTTTCGTTTTGTTGATATTTCGAAATACCACAATATTAAAGGATGTAAAACTGTACTTCTACAAGAGTTGTAATGTTCATTCCTAAAATACCTGAATGAAAACGAGAGGTAAGCATATGGAAAAGATAGCACCGATAAAGTTGTCTCGAAGCATGATATCTTGTTCTCGTTGTGACTGTGTTGTGATGCTGAAGGAGTAATATAAACTTGGAAGATCCTTATTAATGAAATACTCGCAAAAGCTGATACAAATTTTAAGTGAAATGATCAATTTTAGTACATTATTACTAACCTCATCAATTAACATATGAAATCCGCGATTAAGTTTTAATATTAAAGTAGTTAATTCAAAATATTTTAAAATAGTATAGAGGTAATATAAGAAAACACAATGAAGTTGTGTCGAAGCTCTCAACCTTGTACCTGTCCCTGTTGTGAAGTTATAATAAGTAAACTACTATTGTAATATTCATACTTATAAAATATTCCTCAAAGCTATATATTAAAAGGAAATTAATAATTTTTTTGCATTAGAGGCAACCTTAGCCATTTACATAAGACAATAGCAATTCATTTTTAGTTTTAAATTTTTGATTTATTTATTGATGGAAGATTAGCATTTGGTTTTCTTGTCGTTCATTTAAAATGATTTCTAAAGTAGGGTGTCCCCAACATGCATCCCTTGAATCACTCGCCCCGTTGCTCAGCACGTGCGTTGTTGGCCCCCTGCATTACACCGTTGCTGAGCAAGCACTTCGCCGACCGCCGCTGCCATGAAAGTGGCCGGGGGCGCGTGGGCGCCTGCGCATGCGCCTACGCTGTTATGGAGGCGCTGCTTTGTCCGGCGTGGGAGTTTACGACCGGGCTGTAATTGACTGACGCGCTATCGCCATCTTAATAACCCACGTTAAGGCGCCGGCTCGCCTCCCCCCCGGGGCGCCCCCCACCTCGGAGGCGCGGCCGCCGCGGCCCTTACTGCGTTCCCGGCGCCTTCCGATTTCTTTTCTCGCGTCATGGAGCTTCTTTATGGACAGACACGAGAGTGACTCTGTGGGCCTTGTTATAGCGAATAGTGCGCGTCCTACCACAAAAGAGAGGAAAAATGTTGTCTACGAAAAAAGTCGGTAATAATCTATAACAACCTGAACTCACAACGTAAAATTGACGAAATAAAAATTTCAGAAACAAATACTGTACGTTCTTAACATTAGGGTACATTTTATAGACTTTTCCTGCCACAAAATAGTAATCCACATTTAATAAAATCTTGAGACCATAAAATGGACTGATTTACGATGCCACAAATTTTCATTAAAGGTTATTCGTAAATGAGAAATTCATTGAAGGTCAGAAGCATGTGCATTTTATTGTATTCGTGTAGATCTGGATAAGTACGTAAGCGAATGCTGTGCTTATCGCAAGACGGCGACGTTTATTGCAAATGCGAAGTGTATCACAAAAGGAACCCCGATACTCTTCATTTGAGTACGAAAGGATTTTTGTACTTTTAAGTGATCTATTTTAGGAAGGTTGAACTCAATAATTCTGAAATTTTTGGAACGGTAGTATTAATATGAAAAAGGAGATATAGCCAAAAAGAAAACTGATAAGTAATCACTAAATTTTATATAAAAAATGAAAAACCTCTATTAATCGTAAACGTCCCATAGCAATAATACAAAATAAACCACAAAAAAAAGTTCCAAATAAAAATATGCTTTAAACGTACAGCTGTTTAGTTATTTCACCCTCGGACGTAGTGCTTACTCATCATCTATTAAGGATTAAACTGAAATGGTGAAAATGCAAAAAATGTAAGAGGCAACTTTTATTAGATGTTCTTTGGGACTATGCCTACTATACCCCACACCCCAGAATACGAATTGGAAAATCTAATCCGAACGCTCTCAGAAGAGTTGGTCTGAAGAGTATATTCTTTTAGTGTATTGTGAGTTGGCTTATTAAAGAAAATTTGTACATTTGCAAGCTGCCATTCTACAACGTATCGTTTCACTCTTATAGATTTATATTATAAAATAATTTTACTGTCGAAATTATTCTAAGAAAGCGTTGTATCTCGTTTGAATTATCGTGTATGCCACACGCTACAATATAATCCTATAAAACGATAATTATCGTGTGGGGAGGCAAAGCTGACGGACCTCTTCCTTCAGAGTCCTACAAGCCCTAAACCGCATTCTGTAAACAGCGGCGTCCGAGCAATACAACATCCGAGAAACACAGCGATTGCGACCTGTCATTCGTCGCCTCATTGGTGTCACGTTTCTCTGCCATCACAGCTGGGTTGTGGCTTCCATGGATGCGACGTGCGCGGGAACAGCCTCCAAGGCAAGGGCTGTTCGCGCGGTCAACGCTAGAGCGCAGCGCTAAAGAATTCAAAAACACAGGTTTTGAAAATTTCTTACAATCTTCTAGACGAATTTGCTAATAAATCATCAGTTCCCCATTAGGAGGACGAGACGCGTCCAATGACACCTCATTTGTCTTGAGTGGTGTTCGGGACTGACGGATGTACGGACATACTCATGCTACTCAAATAACAAGATTTATTTTGAGTAACACCGAGAATAAATTTTCCAATAGGCATGACATTTTTATTTTCTACGATATACTTTTTTGCATATTTGTGTATCTTAGGATTCTATTCCACAAAATGTTCATATTACTGGAGCAATGAGTCTTAAATTGTGTACAAATATTTTTGGCTGATCCAGAAAAGCAGGATAAGTTGCAGTGATTATCATATATACCCACCCAATGTCGTGAAATTATCTAGTAATATATGAACATAAGCCATAATGTACAAGAAATATCTGTAACCACTTTTTCTCGATTTCTGTTCTCTATTGACTATTTGGCACAGATTTTCTATGGCTGGATAGTTTCTTATCTCTTATCTCCTATGCTATCGTTTAGGTTTTGCCCCACCTGATTTTCAGCTGACATCTATTGGCGTATTAAAGACATTTTTTCACGTTTTCTCAATTTTTCCGTGAATCCCTAAGAGTAGAATTGAAATATGACGTTAAGAATGTTATAGAAGGGTAACATCTGGTCCTATATACACATTTGCATGGAACTATCCGCACAAACATCAACTTGAATCCGGATTCGAGAAAATGACGTTTAAGCGTTTCAGAAAATGTGTAATTTTGAGTTCACGAGAACTTGTGAGTTTCGAGAAACTTCATCAGAAATAATTTGAGCCCATGCACTTACGAACACAATAAAACATAAAAACTCATTTTTCTAGACATCAACATGAGATACAATTAAATTTCACAATTGTGTATTTTTTTAACATGAAATAAATACATTAAAATTACGGTTATATCAAGATATTCAATGCATTTCGTAGCATCTCTAGAAACGTTGAATGAAAACTTTGTAGCCGTTTAAAGAAAACATTGTATTTAATTTTTTTACTATTGCTCATATTTCACTCAAAATTGCACGAAACCAACTAATACTTTCAAAACATTGAACAAAACATTAATTATAAAAACGAACTATGGATGACAAATTGCATTTGAAGAAATATTCTCTTCAACGGTAGTTTTAGGAAGACGCAGAAAAAATCGAATGATTAATTTTCGAAAATTCACAATAAAAATCGAGCCTAAAACTTGTTTCTTATGTATATTTCACTCCATTATTCAAGAAATTTAATGGAAAAAATTTGGAATCATTTTTGAGAAAATGTTGAAAAAATTAGAGGGGCGTCGTACAGTAACCCCAAAAATTTAAGAAAATTCTTTTCAATTCTTTTCGTAGAATTTCGAATCGAGCGTTTCGCCAGAGAATTCTCATTTTGAAACAAAAATACTACTGATTTAGTCGCTAGTCTTTAGTGTTAATAACCGACGGACGGACAGGCAGACAGATGGACCGATGGGCAGACGAACAGACGGACGGGCAGATTGATGGATGGACGGACGAACAGGCGGACCAGCAGTCGGACCAGCAGATCCTTTCGTAAATATCGACGGTCGTTACTAAGGTCTGCTTTTATATCAAGTGCAAGTTGGATTTTACTCACCTCGCCCAGCACCCGCGATCGCCTGAGTTTGATAGCGATGAGCACGTACAGCACTGTGATGAGCGTCATTGGCGCCACGAAGAAGACGATGGTGGACACCTGGAAGGCGTGCGGGATGAGCACGCGCTTGATCGAGCACATGGTGTGGTCTGCGTCCAGCACAGTGCCGTCGGAGCGCCGTTCCAGCACCACGCCGAACTGCGACGCCTGCGGCACGGCCAGCCCCAGCGCCAGCAGCCAGATGCACAGCACGAAGCGCATGGCGCGCGACAGCCGGGAAATGGCGTGCGTCTGGGGACACGAGAGAGCCGATGCGGTTAGACGAGGCGACGCGAGGCACGGCCAGCCCCAGCGCGAGCAGCCAGATGCACAGCACGAAGCGCACGGCGCGCGACAGCCTGGACATGGCGTGCGCCTGGGGACGCGAGCGCGGATGTAATTAGATGAAGCCAGGCGTGACGCAGTAAGCGCTCTCTGTCTGGGGACACGAGAAAGCAATTGGAATATGTAATTGAAAGAAGCCGATGTTACGGTGAGCTACGGGTTCGAAGGGAGAATGTGTCACTTTCAAGCGGACCATTACGCGCATCTCAGTTTACACAACAATGTGCCATTAAAAGATGCAATCAAAAATGCTTCTGAACTCTCCCTGGTCAGCTGAAATCTGGAATGAAGCGCACGATCCGGGACGGTGCGAGACAGTCGGGACACGGCGTGCAGCCGGGGACACGAGAGCAAATGCATTTAGGCGAGGCGTGGTCTGGAACGAGTCTGTCTGGGGACAGGAGAAAGCGATTTGAACATGGATGAAGAAACGAGGAGATGATGTGGTCAATGAGGGTCTCAAAGGGCTAAACTGACACGTAGCAACCGGAACATTAGTCCAATTCAGGGCATATACTATCGTATAATGTGTTGTGAGAAGCTGCAAGCTGAAGAGGTTGTGAAAATTTTCCTTCCCGCTTAAATTTGGAATAAAGCGGATCATGGGGACCACCGTGAAATGACAAACGTGTGGGTTCTCTGACTGTTGTTTAGATCATCATGTATTAAGTTCATTTTGAAGGCCTGTTGGTAATGTCGTTTCACAATTAGACTACTTTACTGAAGTGGCATCACAAGCTACGAATACATAAATCACATGTGTACGTGCGAATTATACCGGGTGTTCATTTTTTCGTTGGCCAAAGATTCGTGCCGAGTCGCTAGGGGAGGCGAGGGATCACTCGCCCAGCGACGCGCTGACTAAACTTCCGTGATAACACGCGGGAACTATCGCTGCGCGTTTAGCCTTTAAGATGATGCTGAAAGTGGGATCTCTCATGCATTCCACCGGTACGCTCCTACCTTACCTTATCCTATTATGAACTATTCCGCTAAAAATCTATGCATAACAGTGCCGTGTAGTCGATAATCGAGGAACTATTTGAGAAGCGCTGCGGCTATCTCAGAGAATTATTGATAGGTATGATCTCGGCCTGATGAAGGAGAGAGAGCGAGAGAGGGGGTGCTCCTTCCCAAGATGGATGATAGAGAATGGATGTAATGCCAGACGGGGCGATGGGTATCGCTTCATTGAAGCTGGCCCCTGTGGGGGAAAACATAGTTTAGTTTTTTATACGAACTATTTATAGTGATACTAATACTAACCTGAAAATAAAAGATAATTATGTTAGATCCAGTCAACTTGCATTTACATCACATTGTCAATCTGAGAACTATAATGAGGAAACTCACCACTCGATTTTCCCCACTCTGCACGAATACTGTATAATTCTTGTGGCACGTTTGGCTCATTGAAATTGAATATTTACATTTTCAATGTTCTGAATTTAACGGACATACTCTGCAATTGACCGTTTACGGATGTCATAAGCAACTCATAATCACATAGGCGACTCATAATGACTTTTTAATATGACATGACAGCTTACAAGAAAACTGACCCAATGACGCAGATTAGAGGAACAAGTGTTACAACTGCAGTGTCTCTGATTGGGAGGTTCTAGGTTTTGAAGCAGGTTTCCACATAGCTAATTAGTAAGTTCTATTAAGCCACTGTCCGGATGAGAATTGTTGCGGTCGGGTACTCGGATCGACGTTTTCCCTTGGTGATCTATGAGTATGTCAGGGGAATGCAACGGACGGGTCAAGGACCATGCAGGTTTTTTTCTTTGTGATTCTTGCCTTTCTCGTCCCTTACATACACACTACGTGATCAAAAGTATCCGGACACGTCCAAACCAGGTAGATTTATCCGTGTAAAGGACGTTTATAAAATGTTGAAATTTTATGATTTTAATTAAAATCGAGAAATATCTATTGACACAAAAAAAACAATATTTGCTAGTACATAATTCATTCTTCTTGAAGGTATGCTTTCTGCTTAAAGAACGAACGTCAGGATATATAAAGCTTCTAGAATGATATAAATGAAGAAATGCACATAGCGTTAACAATAGAAACACTGAAAAATGAATAAGAATATTATCACCCAGCTTTCACGACATTCTTTAATCCTGACCCGGCATAATTCATGTCAATATCGTAACCCCAGCTTATACGAACCCGCTTTCGTTCTTAAAATAACTTCTCCTTAATAACCTTCACCTTTACGCTTCTAAAAATTAATTGGTTATCAATGGAACAGTTTTAGCCTTTTTCTTGAACAGTGAAACGATACAGGCTTTTTCGAAGCGACTGAAACAACATTACGAAGTTTCTTCCTGGGGTAACTCATAGTCCTTTGTATGTATAAATGTACTGTTTATAAATTAGAAAGCAAAAAAAGTCGAATGACAATAAAAATAATTTTAAAAACAATTAATACGGAATAAAGATTGTAATATTTACAATTTTACCAATAAATTAAGCAAAAGGAAAACAACGTTACGTCGAACAACTAGATTATAACATCTGGCAAGGTACCAAACTAAATTTGTTTTCAGACGTGTAATATTTATCGATATCTTCTGAATCATTGATATTTATGTTAAAATCACAAAAAGAAGGAACTTTAAATGTATATATGTAAATTGTATTCAAACTATTTCGCAAACGGAGAGATGTTGACTTGAATTTTAATTTAGTCCTGTTGCAAGTAAGGTCTAATCCGCGTCACAGATTTTAAGTGACTTCTATTCAGCAGTGACGGTAATTATATTAACATTCCATTTTAAGGGCCTTTATAAATAAGAGTGGAAATGCTTCTGTTTGAAAAATAATTGCGTGTTGGAGAATAAGAATATGAAGAGGACAGACTATCCAATTATTTGTCTAGTGTCATCGGTATTCGTTTCTTCTGTTCAAAATATCTCAGATTATTTATATTTCGTCACCACTCGTCCTAACCGTCAGAGTCGTTCTCCTTTAAAGCATCTCTCGTTTTCAACTCGAACTTTCTCTTCGACCGCACGCGGTGGAAATTCACCATCCTCTCGTGCAGATTCCTCAACCTGGATACCGTGGACTCCAGGATGCTGCCATCCATCTTTCTGTACAGATATTCTCGTTCTACTTGTTCCCCTCCTTTTTATCCTCCTTGTTGTTCTTCTCCTTTTCTCCTCCTTTTTCTCCTTCTTGTTGTTCTCCTCCTTGTTGTTCTCCTTTGCCATTCAAATTGGTTCATTGGGACTGAAGCTCTAAATGGGTCCGAAATATTTTCAGTTCAGGAAGTTTGCGAACTCAATGGAACGTTTAATTTTTGTTCTGCTCATATTATATACAGTTCTCCTTCTGCTAGCAAGTTATAGATGTTTAGTATTTTACATTCCATCTTATGTAAAGCAACATTACGGACGTCCGTTTCTTTCGAAGACCATGTATTAGCGAGTCATATTCAGTCTCCGGAAATATCTCAGGTAATTTATTTTTCTATTAATTTGTAATTTGAACGTATTGTTTAAAATATTGTCTCTATTACTAGAGAAATGTACTAAATGGCAATAAACAGAAATAGTTTTGATCAAGAAAAGAAACAACAGAAACTGATTAGAAAGTTGCAAGTGAACAATTAATTTAGATAATTTATTATTTGTTTTCCTAATGTTAACGACACTAATAAGGAATGAAAATGATACTCCTCAAAGGGACTAATTGTTATGTGAAGTATGGATTTTATTTCAAGGGTATCGTACGGTGCTGAAATTAATCACGTCGCCCGCTTAAGACTCTAATTCGCGTGCTCACTTATCTGCTTTAGTAGACTTCACCTGCCAGATCAAGCTAAAGATGTCGATGTATTAAATCGGAAACTGAATCCTCAGACGCGAAAATGAAGTATTGCCCTGGCTTAGGAAAATCCGTTTGTCGGGGCGGGGCGTAAATTCGCACCGCGAGGGCTGAAAGCTCCCAAAGTGGGCGAGGGGAGGGGGCGGCGCCCCGGAGATGAACCCTCGCCCCGTCCGTGGGCCTCGTAACTCTCTAATTCCTCTTTACGGCGCCCACGCGCGGGCGCCGCCGCCGCCGCCGGGCCTGCTCCCGGTGCATCAAAGTGGCATTACCTGCGCCCCGCCGCCCACGTGCGCCCGCTGGCCGCTGGCCGCTGGCGCCCGCCGGGCAGTGCACCGCCCGGAGGTTTCAACAGGGCGGAACACTTGCACCGAGTGTATAAGGGTTGGCATGGTGTCGTCTAAAATTCGGATTTCTAAGGGTTGTTAATGAAAGACGAACGGAGATAATGGGATGCAAGACGTGATGTTAAATGTACTGATCTACGATCATGATTAAATAAGTTGCTTTGATTGTGAATAATTGAAAAATATTTAATAATTGAACATTGACACAATAACAATGGACGCTTCTAATACAGATAAGAACTACATTTTTTATTTAACTCCAATAACCGATGCCTTCTTTCTGAAGAACGCTCACGAAACCTTGTTGTTTTGCGCCACGTTCCGTCAGAAAGAAAAGACCTGAAGAAGGCTGGAATAAGGTAGTCAAACCTTAGTCTAAAGGTACTGCGCAAAACATAAGCCTAGTTAATGAAGCACGGGAACTTCCCGTCAGAACAAAGTTCTGCTGCACTTTGCAGCTTCTAAATTAGTTCCAAGAGAAAAAGCATACATTCAGAGAATGTCAGAAAAAATGCAGAAATGGTGAGGGCAGAGGGATTAGGCCTTTAGGTAGCAGTTTTCACCAATGAACCCAGGGTATAAGGAACCGGAGTTTGGTATTGCTATCACTACAAAAATCGAGTAGGTTGTGTTCTAAACGCAGCTGTAGTGATGTATGCGATGCGTTTTGTGCGAGCTACAGGAAGTGTATGGGTATTAGACTATATATCCGTAACTGACGCGAACAATTACAAAATTTCTATTTTCACTAATTACAAATGTTTCATGCTAAAGTTATGTTACACGCAGTGAGGTTCTTACAAAGTGTTCGGGCAGTAGTGTTTGATTCATGTGATTAATTTGCCGAAGGAGTTGAGCTATGTATTGAAGAGTAGAGTAGCAATTTTTGTGTCTTAGGTTTGGAAGGTAGGACAATGACCGCCTTACAAATTTAAACAATACATTTTTATATTAAGCTATATATTTTTAAATATAGTGGAAACTAGCGTGAACTTTGTCATTTGATTAGTTACAATATTTTTAGTTTTTCAATTTTTTTCAAAAACTCTTGAATAAAGGAATTCTATTGAAGGGTAATTTATATTTAAATATTCACGCTAAGCATTGCATGTAGTGAACCGGAATCAAATAATCGTTAAAATATGCAATTTTAGCTGTTTAATTCCTGATAAGCATATGTTTCTGTTCGATGAATTATATCTACAATGAGTTACGAGTATATAGACAGTGAGTTGTCTCGAACGAAAACGCTCTTTCTCGGGTCTACAAGATTCGCTGCTATTGCATCATTCGTAGATTGCCAACGAGTCATGCGTAATCGAGTAAGGCCTTCTTTCATTTACAAATAACAATAGTATTACATATTTTCGATATATTGGTTTTACTAAACAACTCATCTGAATCGATATTAAATATGATTCATGAAAAAGTTTGTTCCCTGAGATATCGACAAACCCAAGATGCATGTGTGTTAGTGCAATAGTGCGTAAGCACTATTTTAGGCTGAGATGCGCTGCAGTTCAGCTGCAGTTCAGTTTTAGGCTGAGATGCGCATATTCAGAGAAGGGAAAAGCTGAAAAAATTCAGAGCTACAATTTATTATTCTTAATACAAATAATTGAATAATTGAGAGTTGAATTCAATTAAATAATGAATACAAATAACTAATAAATTGAAAATATTTAAAAATAATACCTAGTTGCAAAAAAGAAACTTTATTAATTTTGTGGTATCAAACGAAATGTACAGTTTTAAAATGGAAGATATATAAAACTATCCTCTTCAAAAATCCAATGTATTAAGATTGTGTGTTTTAGTCAGTGGCCTAACGTGCAGGCCTGCGATGCTGGCGGGCCCAGTTACAAGAGGGTCTCCTTTGTTGCTGAAGGTTTTGCGATTCTAAGAAATATGAATTACTTGATACTTTTTCTGATACGTTGCTAGTTGATACAATAAACAGATATTACAAACAGCATCTTCCAGAAGAACGATTTTTCCCGCTTTGGTAGCTTATGTAAACCTGCTTGTAAATCAATACAATCTGTTAGTAACATTGATTTCTGATGCAGTAATTATAGACCAGGAATAATATGAATTTGTGAATGGATACCTTTATTATTTAAGGTATCACTTGGGTTTGCTTTACACTTTTGTAAAGGGGGCCCGAATTCACTTCATTACGCTATTGGTTATAGCAAGACAACATACCGTGCACTGATGCAAGAATATTGGTAAAAGAAGTCAAAAATAATATATTTCCCAACCCTGAAAGTGTAATTAACGATAAATGGTCATTGAAAAATAATAGTTGGATATTTTACGTACCATAAAGAACATCGGCTTTCATAAGCAAAAGAGCACCGCATCTTTCTCCAACTCTTGCACATTATAAGCTGGAAAATTGTAGCCTTCAGCGTGCTTTTAAATATATATTATCTCTGATCAGATTATTTATCTCTTCAGTTCTCTCAAAATTTCACAACAAAAGACGTTCCATATTAGAAGATTAAGACTCGTAAGAAATCTATTTTTTTAAAAATTTCTTTCCAATGTCGCTTTTCTGATGTCTTTTTTATTTTATTTATTTTGTATTAATAGTGAAATTAATTTAAAAAATTGTTTTATTTATTTTGTAAATAATAAAAAGTAAATGAAATAAGTTTTAATTTCATGTTGAGTGGAAGTAATTCTTCGACTTTCCAAGTTTCAATAAAATAAACAAGTTCTTTGTCCACGGAGAGTGTAAATGGCCCAATTACAAACTCGAAAGAGGCGCCTTATGTTCGCGCAGCCTCGCGCCTCGGTCACTGTGGTCCTCGGCCTCGAAATGGCCCCCGAAGGAAACGTCTCCAGTTTTCGCGGCGGCTGAGAGCGCCAACGGGAGTAGCGTCGTCGACGTAAAGTTGAGCAGGCCTCGTCGCGGCGCCTCGAGCACTCCCATCTGTTTACTCCGTGAACGGGGTTTAAAGGCGTCCGTTAAGTAGCCTTGGCACTTTGATGCGCTACGCTGCCCCGGACATCTCTTGCAAGTAATTTAAATGTTTCACTCCTGAGGATTGAACGAAATTCTGTTAGAACTGCTCTTTAATTCTTCAGATTTACTTCAAATTAAATGTCTTCAGATTAAACTTCAGATTGATAAGAAACAAAGGGATTCGAAGAATAATATCTCGGTTGAAGTAGGTTTTGACAATTTAATACCGCGTAAAATATTATTCATTGCAAATAATGCATAATTGTAGTTGCCAAGTAATATTTTTAAACAAATATTCAACGCTAATTTTTTAAATATTTTAGTGGCCCGGCTAATAAACTCATGTGTTCATTGAAAATCCAACTATTACCAAAATTACACGCTTAATCACACTTTGTACACCCTCAAAAACATGTGACATATTTTAAAATTTTAAAAAAAATATACCTCGCGCTCTGCAATAGTGGCACAACTTAAAAAAATTCGAATTGTAAGTTAATGTACTCTTCAGAATTGCAGATTGGTTTATCTTCCATCAGCAACAGCAGCATATCTTACAGTACAGCATGCCACCAACAAATGGTAGAAGTGTGAATGATGATGCATTTCAATACAAAGGAAAACTTCATTCATTTATCTCAACATGTTTTTTTTATTGTGCCAAGAACAAAATATTAATGATTATATTATCTGAATTTAAGCATCCTTTGATAAACGATCCATTGCTTCAAAAGTCTCTCATCTGCCTAGAAAAGTGGTGCAAGTTCTTGAATTAACTATTCATATTTTTCCTTTTGATACTAAAATAATAAGTTTCGAAGGTGTGTATATTTGAAAATGTCTTCATTTATTATTTTTGCTATTTCAATGTCTTGCTTCCGTGAGAGGCTATTACATTCTTTCGCAATGCTGACAATATTGAAAGTACGAATCTAACACGAGTACTGTCACAACCGCATAAAGCCAGCTTACCTGGAAGGGGTGGCAGATGGCGACGTACCGCTCGACGGTGAAGGCGGTGATGGTGAGCACGGTGGCGTTGGCCGAGGTCTCGGCCGCGTAGCTCTGCAGCACGCAGAAGGCCTCCCCGAAGACGTAGGGGTAGCGCGACCAGATGCCGTACACCTCGGGCGGCAGCCCGGCCAGCAGCAGCAGCAGGTCGGACACGGCCAGCGAGAAGAGGTAGTAGTTGGTGGCGGTGTGCAGGTGGCGGTTGCGCGCGATCACCACGCACGTGCCCACGTTGCCCAGCAGCCCCGACACGAAGATGGCGGCGTACACCGCCGTCACCGGCACCACCACGTACAGGGGGTCGCGCCGGGGGCCCCAGCTGCTGCCGCCCCCCGCCGCGGCGCCTCCGCCGCCGCCTCCCGGGTCGGGCGCGCCGCTGGGCACCTGCGGAGCGGCGAAGGCGACGATTGTGATGACCAGGGCCCGTTATGAGTAAGGGCGGATTTTGATGACTATTCCACCGGTGAAATTAAAATCAATTGTATGCGTTCGTAGGCTTCCTCGGCCGGAGTCAATTCATTCTTAGCTCTCCGGGATGAGCCGCGTCTCGGACAATTGTGCTGACGTTTCGGCCATCTTGCTGTGACCAACCGGACAACCAAGAATATAAAATCAATTGTGTTTATACATACAAAATGCCCCTATCAGGACGGTGTATCTCAAAAAGTGTATCGCTTTTTTACCCGTTTTTTCTTACCGTCTCTACCTGCCAATCATAAACTGTTACTCATCTATCTCGGGAGATGGTATTGTCCATTGATTGCTATGTCGATGTCTAATAAACCCCGTATGTACTATAACATAACTTATTTGGTTTTAACATAGCTTTGAATTATTTTCAAAATTTGACGCATTTTGAAACTCTGCTGTACCTAATTTCATTCATGGAATAAGGAAAACCACTCGTACGTTTCTGAGATAAATCCCCTCCTCGCTTTGCGAGTCAGAAATTTATTGAAAATCAAAAGTTTTTGATAATAATTAGAAAATTAAGAAGAAACGAGAGAGTAATTAAGAGTATAATTGAGTAGTAAAGAATAAATAAGACAATAATAATATTTGTGTAACTTTGTTAAATGCAAGTATTAGTGTACCTACCACAAATTTAATTGTATTCAACATGATATTGACTTTCTGAAAAGTAAATATTGAGAGATATACTTTTTTAATTGAATCGAAAACTAATATGGATTCCATTATCTCTACTTTAAAAAAATATAGTCACCCCAACGTTCGAAACCTTAACGTGCACTTCAGAAGCGAACTCCTACTTTCCGCAGCGCTGGTGGCAGGCGGTGCCATTGCTCTTCTCTACCCGCTGTATTTCAGGCCCTGCGATAAATCAGCTTATCTGAAGAGGAGCAGAATTTTCCTGCACGAGAGCTCTCCATTGCAACCGCTTACAGGGTTCAGCGCGATCTCGCATATGCTATCTACACTTTGAGAGCTTTGGGGTATTCAGATACCATTACTACAGTCTGTTTTAATTTAAAAACTAATGCACACTGCGAGTTTTCAAATTGAAAATACGTGCTTTATCTGAAAAGTAGCGAGACGAGTTGTATCTCGTGAACGTTAGGTAAGCGCGCAAAGGTTGTCAGTACTGCGGATATAAAAATGCTCCGTGTATTGCATAAAATTCAATAAGCGTTTTCGATAGCCAAGTTGTATTTTCTATCCAGAACGTTTTAATGGTCTCTAATGTGAAATATTATGCTTCTGTGTGTGAGGGTTCGTTGAAATCTGCGTTCAATCGTATCACTCCCAAATTACACACCTAGAAATATACATTTTAAAATTATGGCTAAAGTTTATTTATCAATTTATATAGAAAATTGATACATTTGCAAAAAAAATGAAATTTATAGTTTAAAAAAATTGAATATTATTTCATTTTATTGTGTGCCAATAAAACATCAACAGGAAATAGATGTTTCTATATTCTATCTATCTCGTATGAATTGATACATATTTGGACGATCCCGAAGGAGAAGAGAGAATTCATCACGGTGTAGACAATGAGTCGTAGCAATAGGAAAAGACTGAGATTGATATCGAGAATCTCTACGTAATGGCCGATGTCACGAGTTTTTTACATTTTCATGTAATCAAATTATATATGTATATAAATTGTTTCCAGTAGAGACACTTTAACTAATTCAGAATTTCAGGAAATTGAAATCAACTGAATTTTAACTAATTGAAATCATATGACTAACTGTTTCAATTACCTCGCTTCCAAAAGATTTAATTTCTATAAAAATACCGACGGGATATAACTTATCAAGACAACTTGGTGTTAGAAGACCCTCGCCATTTATTTTTAAAAAGTACAATAATACAGCGTGATTACTTCTAATAAGAAAACTCGTAGTGATAGGATCGTTTCATGTAAAAATTATCCAGAATATGAATTGTAAGAAAAGGAAGATGAAATAATACTATGTTGCATATTCAATTCAAGAGCTGACAAAATTTTAAACTCAACTGCACGCCTATACGTTATTCATTTTACTTTATTTAATTAGTTTTCGTTGTTACGTGTATGTCTGATTCATTTATTCTTCGTTGTTTTAATAAAATTTATTTGTAGAGATTTATTATTACTATTATTATTATTATTATTATTATTATTATTATTATTATTATTATTATTTTTACTATTATTATTATTACTATTATTATTTAAATGCAAATATACTTTTTTCATATTCATATGAACGTTTTACACGAAAAAAATTAATTCTAGTTTTCTGTTTATAGAAAGTATGTTCTGTTTGTTACTGGGAATTTCATACACGTTTTATCTCGAAAATTAAAATACTCAAATTAAAATACTCGACAGTCGGGCGCGGTAGTGCTCCGAATCACGTGCGTCGATCGAGACAAAAAAACTATAACGTCTAAATTGAAGGACGAACATTACAAATATTGATGATTATTTCCATTGCTAAGACAAGAAATATATGTACATAGAACTTGATTTGTATTTCTTAATGCACTGTTATTTTTAAATGGAATCAATGAAGTTTCATTTTTTCACTGCAATGTTTCTATGGAAATCATTAATAATGTGAACCAGCGTGCAAATGCCCTTCCTTCTACTTTTTTATTACCTCCATTAAATATTTTATGCCTTCGTTATTGCATTTCAAAAAAGCTCAAGATTGCATATCACGATTTTATACCCTTTTACGACCCAGCTTGTTAAAAATATATAGTATATTCTTCTTTGAGTTAATGCAGCACATTCTCCTATACGATTTTTGCAACAGTATAGAAGATGTGATTATTTCATCGCGAAGAAGAAATAAGAATAAAAGGATGGTGCTTTATCAGGTTCAATGCGCCTCGGTGTTAATAATTTGAATATGTCGTTCGATCAAGAATAATTGAATAATTTAGGAGAACGGTAATAATTTAGATTTGATCGGGTTCATATGCAACAAACGAGAACCACTTGAGAAATCAAATTCACAGTATTGGGTAAATAATAAATATGAAATAATATATTAATCTACTTTTGTTACGTTTAAAATTCCATTTTAGGAACATCAACATTTATATGTTTATGTTAATAGAATTTGCATAAACGTATGTAAAAGAGTATATTGCGGCTGTCCCCTAAAGATCTTTTACCCCGCCACTAATATATTCCCTTTTGAATCGATTGTAAATATTTTTTCCCATAATTGTTAGTGGTTCTTTCAGTTATGTACAACGTGTATACCAGGAATAATGTGTTTAAGATACAATTAGTGTAATAATGTATTTTTAAGCCATCACAAACGTATTAAAAATTTTAATACTAACATCGACTTGTTAATTCTTAAATTTAATAAATTTAAAATAAATTTAAAATAAATTTAAAGTAAATTTAAAGTAAATTTAAAGTAAATTTAAAGTAAATTTAAAGTAAATTTAAAGT